TGTACCACATGGTGATGGTGGATATTGTGTCCAACTACTTGACTTTTCTTTTTCGGAAACAAGGCCTTTATCACATAACAACCTTTCTATTTCATTATGAAGAGGAAGATCACAATTCTCAAAATGTTGGACTGATTTTAATAAAATCATGTCCTTCAAGTAATATTTACACCACCATGATTGATGTTCATTCTTCTTCACACAAAACCACTTCTCATAATAGTTTCTCATCAAACTCCTGCATTTTTAAGATTGTTAATGCTACTTTTCTATTTTGATGATGGCGATTCAACAAGTAATTTTACCCAAATTTTTATCACGTGTAGGAAGAATTGGTTATAGAACTGCAAATTTAAGAGATATAAAGGGTCATCCAAGTAAAACATAACAACCATACACATAATTGTGAAAGTGTTCATTGCAATTCAGAACAAGGGGGAGATCTTGATAACAAAATTTGAGATTACAAAACTTATTAACCTTCAATATTTGGCTTAATAACCTGGAGGTAGAACAGAAAATCATCATCTTCCACTATTAATGACTTTTAAGCCATATTCTTGGGTTTTTTTGAACTTTTTCCCGAGCCACAAAGTAGACCTTCACCGCTCATTTCTTCTTCATGATACCATATATGACTTTAACTAATACATGGTGAGGCATGCGACACACAGTCGTCATGTATAGAGGATGGCGAGAAGGGGCGTTTCCCATTGACAACGATTTGGTTGACATGTGCAAGGGTTGGAGAAGGGTTGATGAACATGTAAGTTACTGGATACCATAATTGTAGGGAATCACTAATAAGTTACAAGAATTTTAAAGAATTTATATTAGATAATAATTAATTTAATTAATAAAATTATAAAATTATCTCTATCAAATGATTGGTTAAGAATTAGTCATACATTCATACAATATTTATAGTTCATATATGAACCTAACTCTCTCTCTCTCTCTCTCTATATATATATATATATATATATATATATATATATATATATATATATATATATATATATATATATATATATATATATATATAACATCCCAAATTTTACGAAGATGGGCATCTCTTGGTGAAACGAGTATCATCAGAAGATAATCCTGTAGATCCTTTTACAAAGGCTTTGAGCATGGTCAAACACAGCCAACATGCTAAGAGCATTGGCTTAATAGACGATATTAGTTTTAGTAGTTAGTTGATACACAAAATTTGTAACAAAATAAATGTAATTGATTTTGGTGATTGAATAATTGAGAATTATTTATGAGTATGGCTACTACCTTCTTTAATTATTTATTCTTGTGTTTCACTTTGCATGTTTCACTTTGCATGTTTCACTTATTGAATGATTTAATTATTCAAAGTTCCACATTCACTCATACTTTTGGAAGTAATTAGTAAATTAAAACTGTCATGAATCGATTGTAGATTGTACATACAAATTGGACATTGCATGGGATTTCTACAATATTCATTAGTACTTATAAAAATAGAGATTTTTAGTATTGGATAAACCCACGTTTAGAGATTATTTCATGTATTCAATCACGATTAATTCTAAGACGATAATATCTTCTATTCTTCAAACGGAGATAGATAAGTTGTAATTTGCAAGTCGGTTGTGCATTGGTGTTGCGTAAACACATTAGTAACATGATGTTATAAAACGTAGTGTCATGTATGATCTGATAAGTAAAGGTTACAATTATGTAGTCAAATTTTATTCATTCCTTTTTCCTTAACATGAAAAATGATATCTTTGGGGCCCTCACTGATTTTTTGTTGACAATATAGTGTTGGGCCCAACCAGGACTAAATTGATGTGTTCAATTAGTAGTCTAATGACGTCATCATAAATCGGGAAATCAGGAAACTGAATCTTGGACAATGAGATTGATTATAATCCATGTCTCGTGTCCATACGATATCTTGAAAAACGAATGAATATTTGATCACTTATCTTAGGGCCAACGTTTGATTCGAATCAGAGTTCGACAGTGGCTTTGCATAACACACTTTGTTGTTTAGTTCAAGGTTATAATTCTAATTGTAGTTATAGGCTTATTCAAGTGGGAGACTATTGGATTAAGGTGTCGAAGATCATAACTAAATTGATATATATACTTGTAATTAAAAGCAAAGTCCTTTTTGGGTTGCCCTTATAACTAGAACTTGGTTAGAATGGCATTTGTAAAAAGATGATGATTTATTAGTTTATTATATGATTAATAAATTGTACAAAATGATTTCTTAATATATTATATGATTAATATATTAATTTGAAATAGTAATAATTAATTAAGAATTAATCAAAAATTAATTGGAATTAATTTTAGGATTAATTAGAATTAATTGAGAGTGCAAGGACTAAGCTGTATTTGTTTAAAAGTTGAACAAGGGAAGGGTTCCAGAACCTTCCCATATGGACGGTTTTGAGATGCTCTAATAGGGCATTCTAGAAGCCTCCTGATAATAAGGAAACTAGATAACCACCCGGATTTGAAATATTATTATTATATGTTCAAATTAGAGTTTCTAGGGTTTTCCAGTCAATTATAAATAAGACCCTTGGTTTAGCTATTTTCGTCCATTCCATACTCCATAAGGATAGCCAAAATTTACACCCTCCCTTCTCTTTCCTCTCGTGTCTTCTAGTTCTAGGGTTTGGGTACAAACCATTAGAGGCATCATGATTTTGGTGCTAGGCTTTCGAATACTACTACAAGGAATTGAAGTGATTTGTTTGCTACAACAAATTAAATGTATGTAACTCTAGTTCTATGATTTCGATTATATTAGGGTTCATGTTAGTTTTGGTGGTCATAGTATGTTGCCTTCAAAGTGTTATGACATAGATCATTATAGGTTTCATGTGCCCCTTAATTGTTAAATGTTTTCCGCAAGTACATGTTTGTTATAACCTATAAAACCCATCGGTGGAGTGACGATCATTAGAACAAACATCCAATCATCATCAGAGTATTTGAGTTTTAGTTTGCTAAGGTCATAACTTGTGTAAAGCTAAAACCCTATCTTTTGGGGGTTATTTAACTCTTGTGAAACTAGTGCTTGGTAACCTCCTGCTCTACTATTTCTTATTATTCAAAATAAGGTTATCAATGTATTGGAAAGTATTAAGAGGAAAATCTTATGGGGTAGAGATGAGAACATAATAAGTAAATAAATAAATAAATAAAAAGATGGCTTGGCAAAAAATAATCTCACCGACAGACTGTTGGGGTCAAAGATCTTCATATTTAACCTTACTTGCCAAATGGTGGTGGCAGGTTAAAAATGAATATTATTGCTTGTTTTGGTCCATTACCATTCGGGTGATACACAACTCTTGTGACCATGATTATTACCTTTTAGCTAATAGATATATTTCCCGTATTTGGTTAAATTAGTGGGTTGGTAATTTTACTTTTAAACAACAGTTTCCTATATAAAATGAAGCGGACAAACTTTCTAATCATGTTCTTTGATGATTTTTCTAAGTCGGGTCATAGATTACACATAAAAACTGAAAAACTAAAAACTTTTAGTTTTGATACCCCAACTTCAAGGAATTGTAAATAATGAAATATCTCATGTCAATCCGAAGGGAACTATAACTCATTCAATATGAAACAATAAATAATGAAATTATAGCTTGAATTGAAGTAAAAACTATAAACTACATGCTGGAAATGATCTGATGTCAATCTGATTTCAAACAAATAAGTTCTGCAATTTTTAAAAGTTTCGCATATTACAATTACCTGTTTTTTGTTCTAGATCCATTTTACCCGGTTCCAAACTATCCACTTTGACATTTCTGGATTTTCTGGTTCCAGATCCACTTTACTATCTCATATCCGGAACCGAATCAAAACCAGTTCCTATATAGTAGTCCGGTTTTCAATTCTATTAAATTGCATTCTCCGGTTTCCAGTTCAGTCCCATTCGGTTCAAATTTGGACTAGTTTTCACCCCTACTCTTTGTTAACTGCATGCTAGGTTTTGGTTTATAAAATCTTCCCATTGTATTTTAGATAAACAAAATATATTATAAAATTCTAACCATAAAGTCTATCAAAAAATAAATTTAACGTAATTTACAGTAACAATACACGTATTCAAATTGAATAAGCATAAGCAAACCTTTTCCTTTTTTTTTTTTCTGAAACATAGGTAGACTACAAGATTATTTGAATCCGGTGTCATCTAGACTATGAACCAGCCAAACAAATTTGAGACACAAGTTGTGGGTGATGTGTTTTATTATTGTGAGTATCATTTTAGTTATATGGACCTTCATGTCAACATTAGATAAACTCATCATAACGATTACGGTTAAAAGTAAATTGTGCAACTAGACAGTCGAGGCTATTTGGCTTTTTTTTTTCATCTAGATCACATCATGGTACCTTTCAATCCATCACAATGCCACGGCATAATAATTCTAAAGTTTAGCAATACTGACTATACAGATGCTTATTAGAGTTACGAGTATATCTACTTAATCTACAACATATGCTATATATCTAACCTAGACTACAATTCATTAAATAATAAGCTATTAATACTCCGGTCGTCCACAATTCGTTCTAAAGTCTTTTCTTATCATACCCAAAAGGCAAGAAAACTCCTAATTCGTTGCATCATACTTGCACTCATACAAATTATAAGCAGTCATGCAGATCAAAAGACATAGATAGCAACTAGCAAAACTCTCCAAGCTGTTGTGATTTTAGTGTTACATGACCATTTAATGAAATTGGATTTTGTAAAAGTAAAAGAATTTTAATGTAAGATTTATACACCAAACCACCACTAAACTACTTTTTTTCACTCAATCTATCTAGTGGTCAACAGAAACAATCGTGGTCAATGGTAGAATAAAACTATCAAAGCTCACATGGTTGGAGTAGAAAGTAGATATGATGAAAAATGGTAGAATAAGACTATCAAAATACATGGTGTTTTTATATGAAAACCACAAAACATGATATGGGTAAATCTTTTAGATCAGATATCTTTTTATGCTTTATTGCCAATATTATATAGGTCTGGCATTTCCATTACAATTCAGTAAGTAACTTTTAGTGAAGTGAACAAAATATAAGTATCTTTTGACAACTTCTCTGCTCAAAAGAAAGAGTTCAACCATTTTAACCAATGTATTGAAAAATTTTACACAAGAAAAATAGGACTCATATATCACCTGGCATTAGCCTTGCTTTCTTTCACCACAACACAATCCTGCATTACACAAATTTTAAAAAATATATATATAAAGCCTCAGAGTACATTACATTACATGACATTAATGTAGTATTTGACATTGCAGTAATCCAAGAGGAGATGGAATGAAAAATTATTGATTGTTTGCCACAAAGGAATGGAATGAAGTATTCCTTCGACTGATTTTCATTCCATGTGTAAGGGTGTTTTTTTTTCTTTCTTTAAAAGGAATGGTGTTCATTCAATTCCTTCACGCCAACCAAAGATGACGATGGAATGCAATGATCCATTCCATCATAGGCTCATAAGAAAGCAAACAAAGCCTAACTTATGCAATATGCATACCTGTACATGATATTGATGAGCCAAAATGTTTCTTCAACTACTCTGGAGAACTTTATTAGGATCAAGCTGCCCACTGCAATAGCTTGAAGGAACAGCTGACAGTTCTTGCCTTACTTTCCATTCTTCACCAGGCTTCAATGTAATTGGCTTTTCAATTGCTGCTGCCTCTACACAAAGCATGTGTTTGTACTCATCATCTCCAAAAATCAGTCATGGCTTTTGCCTTCTTATCCCATGGATTCCACACCACTGATGTTAAAAACAAATACTCAGTCAGTGTATGTGTATCAACAAAAAATCTCAAAATGTAAACAGATCCAACAATTAAAAATCACCAGCATCAGGAAGTCCATCTTTGCGAATGACAAATGTGCGTTTCTTTTCATGATCCAGAATTGCAATCTTTGTTGGTGTGCTCAGATAAATCCTGTCAACCTACAAATTAACAGTACATGATGAGACTAAACATTGATGGGAAAGCAATTGAAAAGTGAAATAAGAGATAAAATAAAAATAATAATAATAATAATAAATGTACCTCTGATTCAAAGGTTATTGCATCCCCTTGTTCTGTATATCTTTCTCTGTTCTTCATATTGTCAAGAAAATCAAGTGTCTCCAATCCTTCTACTCGAACTTCACTGTGAAAACAAATATATTAACTTGTTATTACTTCAAAAAATACAAAATGTTATATTGCTTCTGAATACCAAATTGCAACACAAAACGAATCACTGATACCAGGGCAAATTGTGGGGAATAGAGCAACATACCTTACTCTCAATCAATAATACAGGCAATGTAATTCATTTTTCACCCGTATTACTTTGTACCCACAATAACATTGTACTTATGTTTCACAATCAATATGGACAATGTACTTTATTTGTTACATATAACTATTATGGGTAAAGAAATTTAAGTACATAGCTAATATGTACAACGAATTGCTAGTTGGTAAAGAAACAAAAATAAATTGCTATTATCTGGAAAAAGTGTAGATGTTTAGCTATTATAGGTAAAGAAACAAAAATCAATTGCTATTATGGGTAAAAAAATGAAGTGCATTGCCTATATTGGTAAAAATAATAAAGTACGTTGTTGTTTCCTACAATTTTCCCTTGATACTAATATAGATGTTTAGCCCTAAATATCATGTGAAAGGTGTTGCACTAATTTACCTGATATCTGAAACAGAGAAATAGGTGTGATATGCAAATGTAAAAGTAAATGGCTTTCCATCAGTATTTGTATTTCTGATCCGGGATGTCAACATCAAGTCTCCAGCCGGTCCCAGAGTAACCCTCAGTCGATACTCAAAGCTACAAATGGAACAAAAAAAAATAGAAAAATTATTTATGAGAAAGATAAAGCACAAAGTATCTAAGATTAAAAAAAAAATAGAATAAAAAATGTGCCTGTGAGGCCATATCTTCAGATCCTCTTCAGTGGGCTTAAGTAGCAAATCAACAAAAACTCTATTGGTGGTATTTGATGGAAAAGGAGGTGGATCAATGTCTACAGTCCAAACTCTATTTCTAGCAAATCCATGTGCTTCAAGAGTGCCTAGATTTGAGAACTGCATCAAGGAAGCAGGTTACAATGAGTAGAATGAATCCAAAAATAGTGTATTAAGCAGAAGAAAGATAGAGGCACATACTTGAGGAAAGCATAAAGGAATACCCCCACGTATTGCCTTTGGAGGCTTAAAGATTGCCTGCAAAAAATACATGCATTTTTGGATTATTGAAGTCAACAAAAAAAAAAAAAAAAAAACCACATCCAATTAACGAGTATAAATAGGAGTGTGAAATCATTCATCAAAAGAGAATTTACGGATAACTGGTACCTTACTACTGACAAAAAGCAACTCTTCTCCATGTTCATTTTTCCAAGATGTTACATGACCTCCATACAGATATACCTGCAAGAATAGAATATTAATAACATTAAAATGGTTCTTAGTTCTTACATAGTAAGACTGCAGACAACAGAATGTCAAGCAAAGATCCATGATTGCCAAAGATAATTCTGATAAAAAAGAAATTCTAATGCCCTTAGTGTTCGAAGGCACAAACAAACAAGTGAAATATAATGTGTTGCAGTTCCCCTTTTGGCTCCACAAAGTTTAAATGAAAGCCATGTAATATAGTTCACATATTCCACAATGACTATGTCAAATTAAAATCGGTTACTAGTTACTACTCACTAGTCTGCTAGATGCTTCTTAGATCACTAACTCTGTAACTCATGTTAAATATGAATACATGATAGTCAAGTATCACAAAGAGAAATGATATTTATCTTATATATTGTTATCCTCTTTGTGGACTCGTATGACACCATAATAGTTCATTGTATTTTCCTGCTAACAAAGCATTACAAGTATGATTGTCAAATGCAGTCTCCATATAAATTTACCAAAAACTACTTATAAGTTGATTAATGTACTTATCTGTGACACAAATAACTCTCTTTGTTCATAAGTAACAGATCTGGCATAAACTGCATGATCTGTTTAGTGTTTACATTTAGGCTAATACAGGAGTTTATGTCAACTATTTTATAAATTAAATAATCCTAAAAGGTGTACTGAGCACTAATAGCCAAGGAAAGGTTCCAATTCTTCAAAAATGGAACATAAACATTTATGTGGGGCTCAACTACCAACTCCTTTGTAAAAGTCAATATGCGTCAAAGGAGCAATCCTAAACGGATTTTGTAACCAGATAAGATCTCTTCAATAGATTATATTGTTATCTTACATGCAAATCTTATTGTGGAGAGCGATTCCATAAAATGCACAAAATAACGTGTGCTAATCACTAGCTTTTAATTTGCAATCCACGATCTCGTTCGAGATCAAAGTTTAGTTTTACAGATTCGTATATACACCGTAACATAAGAGATTGTAACGATCTCAACAATTGTCATCGCAGGAGACGAAGAAACTTACACAGACTACAAAAAATGTGGATGAAATTTATGAATTCAAACAAAAAAATTTCCGATAAGGCAACAAAACGTTCATATATCGCTAGATTCCATTGCAGAGAACAACAAATCTAACCTAAAATAAGATATACGGTTTCGTAATTCAGATCATTTTCGTTATGAGTAAGATCAAATCAATCAGCAATGCTCTGGCATAACATCTACCAACAAGTACAATATAACGAGTTAAATTACAACATGCGAGCAAATCTGAGAGAATTTATGGAATTATTCTATATACCTCTGCAGTACTGCCGTTGATTTCACGAAGTATGACTTTGTCTAGGCCATTGATGCCTTTAGTGATCTCAACAGATTTGTTTTCCGTTGTTGACATCTCATCAATACATCAATTCCGATAACGTAGCCCTGAATCTCGCGATCACACACACAAAAAACCGCTACTATGTGTATAACGCCTCTCTCTCTCTCTCTCCGTCTTTCGAGTCTCAAAGCTGTCAAAAGTTGATCTCATATAGAAATGAAATGCGTAACTTCCTTCCCCAATATAAGCAATGTTTTCTCCTTCTTAAAAAAATAAAAATAAAAAATTAGACTAGTCAAATTATTAAAGAAATAAACGTTTATTAATAAATAAATCTCCAAAATGTTTTTAACGACAATAAAACAAAATTGGAAAAATAAGATTCTGATATTATGTTTAATTAAATTAAAAATAAGATCGGATATTATGTTTTTTTTTTAAATACTGTGACAACTCTTTCAACATCATTAGTATAGTTAATTAGTTATTAGTGCTTATAGTAAAAAAGTGCAATAAAATTAGATTATTTTATTAATCTATATAGCATAATTTCTTTATCTTATTTGCATAAAAAATTACTATTTTATGAAACATAAAAGGGCATAAGATCAGCAGATTTAGATTAAATAATTAAAAATAATAATTTGTTACATTTGTATTGTTAAAAATATTTTATATGAATTAATAGAAATATATAGTTGTATTGTACTTGTAACATTTATCCCTAATTATTAACAGACAATAGAATAAATGCATATCAAAACTAACAAAAACAATAATTCCAATTGATGATACGAAAAAAAAAATATTATTCAATTAAAGAAATGGAGTAGTTCTTTTAGGTTGTTCATAAAAATACAAGATATTTTTTGTTAGTAAGCTTTTAATTTAATTTCATCATTAATTTAACATGATCACTACTTTATATTAATATCTTTATATTTGTATAAGTTATGTGAGATAGTTTAGATATTCAATCAATAGATAAATATTTCTTTTGAGCTCTGTATTAAATTAAACATGATATAAAAATCAAAGAGCACAAAACCTGTATATACTTTATGTTTTTTAAACCCGTGTACATGTAACTTTATAGAAAAAAAAATTCTTTAACCTTTTCATTTTTTAACCACATTTTCTTTGTTTGAAAATAATTACGGAATTTTTTTAATTGGTGACAAAAGTTAAAGAAAGAAAACCCCTGAACTTTAGAGGATATTGTTTTTTAGAAATTCACCTTTAGCTTTTACATGATTGGATACAAAAGTCAAAAACTGTGAATATATTGAATAACTTTCCTTCCAGATACATGAAACAGTGACTTTTTGTATTTATTGACACATCTTATAAATATGGAATTAAAACTTAAAACATTTAGATTATTTTAAATCAGCTTAAGCATGTAACAATCAATGCATGCCTTCTAGCTTTCAATAGACATTTGCAGGTGAGTAGGCAAATTTTGACTATAGAAAAATTAAAGGAATGTGTGGAAATGCAAATTAACATGGATGTTTTTTTAAAAGATGTCGGACAATATTTTTTTAATAATATATCTTTTGTCAAATAATACTAGAAGATTATTCAAAGATATCATGGACAACATATCTTTGATAATAGATCTTTTCAGGCAATACTTGAAGGGACATATGTGCCTAGACACAATGTTTTATGTAGTTAAATTGTATATACAAAGTGTTATAAACTTTTGTAAATAAAGTAATGTTTTTCACTTTTTTGGCTCTTTCATTATGAGAGCACTATGTTTTATTTGACACATACTTAAATGAAAACATCTACTTTTAGTAACATAACTAAAATGCATCTTAATAAGAACATATATTAAGATGCTTCAAAAAGCTAAATGTAATTTTTGAAGGACATGCAATAGAACACATTATCATGAAATGTGCGCAATGGATATGATTAGAATGAAAGAATTTCAATGTCACATTGGTTGGGGGAAGGTGAGGCAACACCATCTCGGGTAGTTTTCACAAAGATCATTGATTAGATGTATACATTATACATATCGAGATCAAGAAAAAGAAATATTGAAGTTCACAAAAGTACAACCAAAACGTGGCTTTCATTTTTCCAAACCTTAGGGTTTACCCATTTTCATTTGCATCTAAAACTATATTTATACAATTTATTTCACTTATATTTTCAACTTTCAACTAGTCTTCAAAATTAAATCAAATCATGAGGATATCACTATTATTGATCTTGTAACGATGTTTTACTTAGAGCAACCACTTGATACAAAGTGATAAAAAGATAACAAAAAATAAAAAGTGAATTGAATAATGAGGTATGCCTTTATTTAAGGGAACGGGAAATAAAAAATAAAAGGATACTGTAGTATGGTATGTAGAGTAAAAATGGATATTTGCCACAAGTGGGCATCCCCACCAACCAGTCTCTCGCGATGGGAAAGTAAATTACTATTTGAAACAAAGACATTCTCATGTCTGTTTTCATATGCTTTCGTTATTGTTCTACATGACGTGCCATATAAGGTTATGTTTAACACATATAAGGTAACTTGTTTTTTAAGTTTATTGTAATTTTGTTTTTGGTGAGACCATAAAAATAGTTTATCGTAGCTTATAATTAGTTATTTAATAAGTTATTTGAGATAAACTTGCTGATAAGTTGACCTATAAGTTAAAAACTAATTTTTCAACTAACGGGTCAAACACAACCAAAGTGTCTACCCTTACTTCATCTAAGCTTTTGTTTTTTATTATTTGATTGCAGTTGACTAGTCTGTAACTATTATAATACTTTATATAAAAAGTTATGCGATTAGTCCATATGGTTTGCCAAAACATGCTAGTTTAGTACAACTATAATAGTTGATACGTGCTTGGACCCTATGATTTTATTTATTGTGTGGTTGGTCATTTACACAAGTAAAATGACAACTATGCCTATTTTAATTTATTTTATCTATTATTTTAGCTAATTATAATTTTGAAAGGAATGGAAAATTAAAAAATTAAAAAAAGCTACCCCACCCCCTCAAATAAAACCTTGTTGTCATCTTCCTCCCATTTTCTATCTTTCTCCATCTTCGGTCCAGAACAACCATTGGCAGCCACTATTGTCACCAACATTTATGTCTACTACAACAATAACCACCATGGCGACCTCTTACGGCTGGAGTTAGTGGTACTGCCATTGTTAGGTGGTAGTTAAGTGGATAGATGGTAATTGGGTTTTTAGTGGTGTTGTTGACTGTGGTAACAAGAGTTAAAGAAAGAGGAGGTGATTGTTTGCTTAGCCTTGTATGTTTCTTTGATAACAAACTTGAGTTGGGCTTTAAAGAAATGGGTATGGATCAATATGATGAGTTGGGGTATCGAAACCATCATATTTTTCATATAAACAAGTAGATTGTTGGAGGACCTTACGATGTTTAGAGAAATAATCACCTATTAAATAGTTGATATGTAAAAATTTTCAATTCTTGACAGTATAAAGATACGTTGGTGAAGCTCAAGACGAGTATTAGTTACAAATTTGTTATATAAAACTAACTCATTTTATCGTATAAAAATACAACATATATAGATAGGTTATCAATGTATATCATTTAAAATATTGTTCACTAATTGTTTCGGGTAAGTGTTAACCCATATAATGTAGCTAAGGCTATCCGGAGTGGGTTCACGCTCACTCGTGAGTTTCCTATGTCGCACACATGTGGCACACCAACTCACCGGTGAACACCGCCCCATGGACCGGTGGTTTGGCTGTGAAGTGGGTTGTAGTGGTTGTGAAGACGGAAGAAGACGGACATTTTCATTGGTTCCTTAATTTTCTCCTCGCATTTTCTCTCCTTCTCTCTTCTTCTTTTTGCCTCTTCACTACAAACTCACCGGTGAACACCATTTCCACAACCTGATGGATTGGTTGTGGAATGGTAAAATACATATGTGGCGTTGAACTGGCTGGTGGTTTGGCTGTGACTACTCCCCACAGCCTAACTAGACATATCCTCTTGAAACTTTCTTCCACGGTTTATTACAACATAGCAATCAATAGATAACAAAACAATTTTATATTGCTATAATGTATGAAAAATGTAGTTTTTATTTATGTAGAAATTTTGAATAAAAATAGTTGTAAATTTATGAATGATATAAAATGACATAAAACCTAAAAGAGTTAAAAACTAAAAACTTTCAAAAGTACTTGGATAGCTTTTTGATTATGAACGCTTTCAAAAAAAAAAAAAAAAAAAAAAGAAATCAAACTCTTGAGGAACACAACTTTTTCTACAATTCTTGTTTAAAAAAACAATAGAAGTTAACAGCTCTTAATACTCGTTGCCAAAGATGCTCATAAACCGATTATTTCCAACTTTCTTTACATTCCATCAAACAAAAAAAAAATGAGAAAAAAATGTAAGGTTGGCACAAAATGGAATAAATTGAACTCCATTCCTTTTTTTTCATTTTCATTTGTAAGTATGTCAAATACAATTATAATGTGAATTATAGCAAATGATAAAAAAAAAATTAGAAAATGTTCATAAAAGTTATTGTAGTTGGGAATTAGAACAAATTTCTACAAAAACTATTATTGTCTGGAATTTGTTCCGTTTAATAATTCGGATACTTTTTAATGCTTTAACCATTATGGTTTGAAATATTTATCTAAACAACTCTAAAAAGAAAGATATCCCTCCAATTGTTTTTTGCAATCACTGGCAAGAAACACTTATAGTGGTTTTAAAAATTAAAAACAATTCTTAGAGGTTAAACTAAAAACAATATTTCGATGGTTAAACCAACAAAAACAAATTATAATGGTTTTATAGAACTTGGTCTATTTTTAATTATATTTTATGGTTTTACAAAAAACACATAATTGACAATGACAAAATACAAGTCATTCTTTTTATAAAATTAAGAAAATAGACAAATTATTTAACATATACAATAAAATCATTTTCTCAAATACTCAACACAAATGATACATACATTCCCCCATTAATTGATGTTACAAATAAGTAGCAATACAAGATCAACATTTTCCAGTGGTATCATAAATTCTAGTTACATAAATAAAAATTCCAAAAAAAGTAATTTAAATCATTTAATGAGAAGTAACATCGGATAGCTTTTGAACTGCTTTCCATTCTTGACCAGAGTTTAGTATAACAGGCTTTCCAATTGCTGATGCCTCCACAGCAACCATACTTTTGTAGTCATCAGGTCCTAAGTCAACAATAGTCTTTGATCTCTCCTCCCATGGATTCCACACCACTAATGTACAATAAAAAGTTATAAAATAAGTTCCGGGGTAAATTACATTTTTAGTCCCTCAACGTAGTTGATTGTTTAAATTTTGATCTCAAAAAAATTTCTTCTGTAATCTTGGTCCTTATTTGAGGTTCTTGTAATGTTTTAGGTCTTTGTTCCAAGTAAAATGACTATTTTTGGTCCATAAGTTTAGCCGATTTTTGTAATTTTTGTTCTATTAACGTTTTACTTGGTACATGGACATAAAAAAACGTTTCAAACCATTTCTTTTTTGCCTTCATTAGTAAAAAGTTTTTTTTTCCCAAAAGTGATCAAAATATTGGATCTCTATGCAAATAATGTTTTATAATTATGCCCACAACAGACGCAATATTTTGACTATTTTTTTTTTTTTTTTGAGAAAGACCTGTTATTTATTCTACCAGATGAAAATCTATAAACCAGGTTTTAGAATGTAAAAAAAATATATATAAAAAAAAAAATTAGGTCATACATGAAAATGGGTCAAGTAGTTTTTTTCTTAGAAAATAGAAATAACCCTTATTTTTTTAATTAAAACCCCTCTAAATATGAGTAAATGACCATCTTGCCCTTTTTAACACTAAAGTGCAAAAAATCTCACCAGCATCAGGAAGTCCATGTTTCTGAATGGAAATTGTTTGTTTCTTTTTATGATCAAGAATTGCAAGTTTTTTTGGTGTGCTGAGATAAATCCTGTCAATCTGGGTAAATAAATGACATTAGTTAAAGCCTAACCTAACCATGGTAAAGTACAACAATCAAAGCGAGAGAAGTGGTAACTTTTGTTACCTCTGAATTAATGGTTATAACATTTCGTGTCTCTGTAAATCTTGTCCTGTTCTGTGTATTGTCAAGATAATCAAGTTTCCCCAATCCTTCAACTCGAACTTCACTACAAATACAAATATCAAAATGTTCAGTTAAAACCATTTTTTTATAATTACCAATTAATATATATTATAATGTTAACCAATTTACCTGATATTTGAAACACGGAAATAGTTGTGATAAGCAAATGTAAAATTAAATTGCTTTTTATCGGTGTTGGTATTTTTTATCCGAGATGTCATGATTAGGTCTCCTTTAAGTCCCAGAGTGATCCTGAGTCTATACTCAAACCTACAAATGAAGATATACATAGAAAAAGTTATATATCAATGACAAAGTAAAAGCACAAAGTATATAAGATAGAAATAGAATAAAGTCAATAAACTATGTACCTGTTAGGCCATATGTTCAAATCATCTTCAGTGGGCTTAAGTAACAAATCAACAAAAACTCCATTAATTGGTTTGGATTGAAGAGGATGGGAATTGTTCTCCATGGTCCATACTCTGTTTCTAGCAAATCCATGGGATCTTAGAGGGCCAAGATTTGAAAACTGCATCAACGAAGAAGGTGAAAGTGATTAAATTAATTCAAAAACAGTAAATTAAACAGTAGAAAAAGATAGATGCAATGCACATACTTGAGGAAAGATTATAGGAATTCCCCCACGTATTGCTGTTGGGGGGCTAAAGATTGCCTGCATAAACACATGAAATTCTGGATTATTGAAGAGAAAAAAAATACAAGTGTTTAATAGGAGTATGATTCATCAAAATAGGATTCCGGATAGCTGATATACCTTACTACTGAGAAAAAGCAACTCTTTTCCATGATCGTTTTTCCAAGATGTTACATGAGCTCCATACAGATACACCTGAAATTTGCAGAATAGAAATGTTAAACACCATTAAAAGCATGGAAAATCTTCAGATATGAAGAAACTTAAACTGCTAAGGCATTAACATCGCAGGAGCATAAGGTAAGAAATGTTGACATATCGCGAGATCCCAATTACAGAGAACAAATCTAACCTAAAACGAAGTTTTACAGTTTTGTACGTCTAGATCTTTTCCGTTATGAGTAAGATCGAATGAATCAGCAATGATGTGACATAACATGATTGATAAATGATTACATCCAGCAACAAGTACAGTATATAGAGTTAGATTATAATACGCGAGCAAATCAGAGAGAAATTAGGGAATTCGTCTTCTACATACCTCTACAGTACTTCCACGGATTTGACGGAGTACGAGTTTGTCTAGGCCATTGATGCCTTTAGTGATTTCAACAGAGGCTAAGGTAGGTTGCAATTGCATCCATAAAACAATGGATATGGTTACGTATAATAAATAGGAAATCATTGCAGAAAAGCAAATACAGATTAAGCTCGAGAAAGAGAAATACTGAAATACTAGAGCGTAATTAGTGCAACCAAAAACATCGACTTTAATGGTGTTCACCTGTCTTCAAAAGATCCTCCGGCGACTTTACTGTGGGACCAATTATTGACAAAACGATACAAAAATATCATAGTCAAATCACAAATGAATGTGAATCTGAGTAGGATATAATGATATATGATATGTTAATATGATCGAGATATAAGAACTTCGCCTGCTCTTTCCTCCTCTCTCAGGTGAAAGGTCAACTGTGCTCCCATGTTTGAATAGGTATTTTTGAAAAGGTCAATAGCATGTTTTGTCCACCAATCAGGCAAGCATTATCAATTTGTATTCTCATTGCTATCAAGCTATTAATTATTATAGTGAATCAATCTTATATTGCTAAACATCTAATCTCTAATCTCGTTTTGAAAAGGTCAACAGGGAATCAATCATCATTCTGGTCCACTTAGTTGTCTTCCTAAGATTTTGTGTTGCCTATACAGATCTTAGTTATTCACATTGGTCCGAAAATCATCCATATGGATTATCTTTATATCTCCCAATCAGCTTCTACAATTAACTACGTAATATAGATCATACGTTTGTAACTTTAATACTGTGTTTTTGGTACTTTTAAGAAAAACTATGGTTTGTTAAATTATTTTTTTTTTAAATTCCGTTGGTGCATAATTACCGATCTATATTAACTTTGGGTTATTAATTTCAATGATATGATTCTTTTATTTAGACTAGAACGAGTAGTGGTGTGTATAGCTATAGTGCAACATTAATTTTTTATATGTCATGTAAACATAACATGATGCTAGGGAATGTTAGTGTGTTAACATGTATTTGGAATAATAAAAAAAATAGCCAATCACAAACAACTTACGCTCTCACTGCTCTCTCATCTCGCTAAGTTGTTGGCGAGTGGACCATGGCGCACCCCTTAGCTCCTAAGGGGCAGTGTTCAAGGCATGCTAAGAGCTTGACGAGTGGGCTTGACGTACCTACTCCCCATAGTCTTATCAAATATCATCCTAACAAAAAAGACGAGTCTTATCAAATATCATCCCATCAAAATAGAAATATACTTCAATTCCTCATCTCAATCTATTCCATCATCTTTATCTTTATGTTTCTTTGAATCAATCATGATTTCATAAAACGGAGGTGCTATACTACATTTTGTAGAAGAGGGGTGTAGCATGTTAATGACGTTCGGGAGTATATGCCTCAGAATGTTTACAATATGCGTACTTTTGAATTTGCATTTGGGTATAACCTAATATGTATCATGCAAATAAGGAAGTTTTGGGACATATGTTGAAAGAGTCGATGGGGGAACACAACATAATATATCAGGGAAACTAAATATTCCACGATATGAAAAACTCATTTAAAGTTCACATTTCCTATTCTCAAACTTGGTGTGTGAAGTGACATGTGTTAGAACTGCCAAAGGCTACAAATGAAGATTTATTTTCAAGACTCCTAGTGTAATGTTACAACCTGGAGAAGGCAAATCCAGGCACTGCGATCCATATTGAGATGGAAGACCAACACCTATTTAAGCTCTTCTTTGTCGTCATTGGTCGTGCGATAAGTTATAATTATCGTGACCACATTCTAATGGCATTTTGCTACTATCAAATATTAACACCATTATAACAAGCAGACTCATACATTCAAATAACACAACTATATATCATTTGTAGATTCGTACATTTAAAAACCATTTGTACCCCTGGTCATAACAAGAATGCTCACTTACAGGGAAGTACTTAGGCACCATGTCCCGTGTGATTTCCATATATAGACAATGTAACGTCCCATTTTCACAACAAAAATTTTCATTTCTAATTAAAGTAAAAGTTCACATATTCAAAATCCAAGTTAAGAAAACCCCTTTGTTCCAAAGTACATTGTTTAAAAATCAGAGTAATATAGTAAACGCGGAATCTTCATTGCTGCTAATGAATGTGTACAGTCACGCCTTCGCCTTCCTACGATAACCAATGAAACCTGAAAAGCAATAACAGTTGGGTAAGCACGAAGCTTAGTGAGTTCCCCCAAAATACAACATACCACAAAACATATACAAACATGCATGTTGGGTTTACAGTCATCAGACTGGATTGCCCCGGGTTTGTTGGCCTGCTGTCTCAACCCAACCACTCCTATCGAGCCTCCATGCCTACGGATTACAGCCGACCCGCACCTGGTATCTTGTCCTACAACACAAAGTAGGGCTGCCTCAACCTGACTCACCACAATATGTTGACATATATAATCAAACAAGTAATCAAGTATATACATAAGCATAGGCAACTATCTACACAAGTCTACCTACCTCACAGCTCACTACCGCACCCTAGGATCCTCACAGTACACTGCTCTACTATCGGAAAAATTTTAGGGAATGCATAGCCATATGTAACCAGAGGTGAGATAGACACCCGAAAAGTTGATCCTACTCTAGATCCACAACCAAACAAGGAACAGGCAAGAAAGCCTAGATCAAGAGTTCTCAGGCTATCATACGTGACTACATACAACCCCTAGGGCACTCTACTAGACAACAACTAGTCTACGGGTAATCTAACCAACATCCTAACATACAAGGATATACATTTCTACATTTCACTATAGCACAACAACATCCTATACACAAGGGTGAATAACAACATCTAGCGGGTCGACATTCTTGCCTTCGACCCACGAGTACAATGAGGAAAACTCACCTGAATCGGAAAACTCAAGAAAGTTGTAGCACGCTCACTTTCTGCACTGATTTCTTTCGCGAATCCATAAATACCAAAACCAGGTAGAACCTTAATCAACAACCCAAAAACCCTCAAGTTTGACCCAAAGTCCAACTTGGTCAAAAACTCAACGGTTAACGGTCAACAAAAGTCAAAGTCAACTCCAGCTAGATTACACCATGCATAACAGCTCTACGCCCTGCATAGAGCCTAAGGTGGCAATAAAGGGAAAATATAGGGCTACACGCTCTGTAGCCTAAGTTACATCATGCGTAACTACGTTGATGCCAAGACTTCCCAACAAGTGCTTAATACATAAAGTTAACCATCCAGTCCTCAAATATGGTCCTTAATAGCTCCATAATGGATAAAGTTTCCAACTTTATCCATTAGGATGGTCCAAAAAACCAAGATCTAGTCTTTATGTCTGAAAGGGACCAAAAATGCATCTTTCTCAACTTAATCCATTACGTCCAAGTCTCCAACCATCAGATCTGAATCAATATGATGTTTAGATGAATAGAGTTTCCAACTTTATCCATAAGAAGGTCACAAACTTTCAAGATCTAAAATTTATGCACTAAAATGACCAAAAAGTGGCAAATATAACAAATAACTAGATCTATGAAACCAATGAGCAATTTAGAAGCTTTTTACTCACAATGGTCCAGGAATGAAGCAACCTTGCTGGATCTATACTTGAATCCTTCTTTTATACATTTTGCCACCACCTTGTTCTTTAAGATTCCACCTTCCAATGGAGAAATAAGCTCATAAATGATGCCAAGTATCAAAACAAATGAGAGGAGGCTAGGGCTTCTCAAGGAATGATCTTAGGCGATGGAGGTTGCTCATGAGAGGGTTTCCTATAAGTTAGAGCCCTTAAATAGGGCTCAAAACTAAAGAATTAGGGTTTTAATCTGTCGTGATTACGCCCTACGTAGCATAAGTTACGTCATGCGTAACTTATAAAAAATGTAACCAACATTCAGTAAGTTACACCCTGCATAGCAGCTACGTCCTGCATAACTTTCCCAAGCCCTACGTGGGACAAACCCTAATTTCCACTTCAACTTCAAACAACCATAACTTCTTCGTTTCAAATCAGTTTTCGGTGTTCTTTATATGCACGAAAAAGTATTAAAGAGCCCCACAATTGTATCTAGTTAATTTTGACTTAAAACATACCGAACTAAAATCCTTAATTCATGAAAGAAGTCTGAAACATCACTTTTCCCATTTTACCCTTTGACTCCAAACTCAAACCAAGGGATTGGATCACATAACCAATATTATCGACATCCAATAGGGTATAGACCCTATTCCCTTGAAGCCCAAGGCCTTTACTAGATCCATTTATTGTCAACAATCTCAAAATAAAAAACTTCCTAAAACAGGATGTTACAAACAAAAATAGTCAAAACGTCCATTTATCCATTAAAGTAGGGAAGTCAAAGAGTGTGAACTCTTAGATATGGGTTTTAAAGGAGTTTGCGGCATGAACCATGCGATCGAAATCCATCTCTTCGCGATCAGACTCTGCATGACTTTCCTTTAAGCTTCCTTTGATCCTACAAAACATCAAAATGTAATTTTATCACATCATTTATTAAGAATCTACAAACAGGAACTTAATAAAGTTAGATAGTGGATTTAGCTGAAGTAGAGTCAAACCTTTTTGACTTTACCTTCTCTTAGATCTTTCAGGTATTCAGGGCAGCTTCGCTTCCAATGTCCCTTCAAGTGGCAGTAGAAACAAGTGGACTCTTTGGCATTTGCACATGGAACTATCTCAGAACTGGCTTTTCTCTTATGGTCAAATCTTTTGACCATAGCCAATTCCCTTCCCATAGGAGAAGGGATCTTTTCTGGACTATCTATGTCATTGCCTATGTCCATGACAGCTTGGAAAGTAGATTTTCCAATCAAATTTACTTGACCATTGCGCCAAATCATTTCTGATTCAACAGCAATAAGCAAATATGTAAGATCAATAAGGGTCACGTCGCGGTCTGTCATATAGTAGTCTTTAACAAACTGACTATACGACTCGGGAAGTGACTGAAGAACCAAGTCAACAGCCAACTTCCTCGGGAAAATGACACCCAACATGCCCAGCTTGTCAATGTGTGACTTCATATCCAAGACATGTGCACACACAGACCTTCCATCTTGTTGTTTACTAACCAATAGGGCTTGAGTGACCTTGAACTTTTCAAGTCTTCGAACTTGTGGGTCAGGGAGAATAATTGGAGGAGGTGGAGGAAGTGAAGTATGATATTGTGGAATATCATCTTCATGTGGAAAGCTTTTTCCAAAAGATTCGGGAAGACCATAGTTGTCTGAACTAGACATCTACAAGGGATAAATTCAAGTTAGTTGATTGAAGTCCTTAATATAACACCCAAAACGAAATATTAAGGCTAGGACCCAACACAATATTTTACAATTGCGAAGAGGGATGCCGTAATCCAATTGTAAATATTTGAAGGTAGGTAAATGACGATTTACCAATTTCCACCATGAAAAAACGAAATAGATTATTAAGTTTTAATTGGATTGAAATTCCTAAATCCTTTGAGATTCATTG